GCACAAACAATTTAATTATAAATACACACACACACACACACACACACACACACACACACACACACACACACACACACACACACACACACACTAAGCCACGTCCTGTGCATGGACTCAACACTTCCCGACTATGTTTATTTACTCTATCCGCTCTCTCTCACTTCTCTATCTGTCCTTTATTTCCTGTCCCCTGGCTCTCACACCGGTCGTGTCCATTTCACATTCCTCTGCCCGTTTGACACAAATCTGAACACTGATTACCACGTCTTTGGCTGAGCACATCGCCTCATAAAAGCCTTTCTCAGCTGTTCCGACTTATACGTACCAGGATACATTTACCGCTCTTCAAAAGATCCCATTGTTTTTAAAAGTGTGGGCATGAGAAGTGTCTCTGAGTAGTCAGTATCTTATCTGCGGCAGACAGCGGTCAAGACATGTTTAGTTTGGAGAAGTGAGAAGGATTTGTTTCATGGGAGCCTTCTACTGCTAGAACAGGATCAAAAGAAGAGCCCCCCCCCCCCCCCATTTAAAACAATCCAAGTTCTAAAAAATTCATATGCCAGTGCAGGATTGTGGGTTTTTACACAACAATTTTCCGTCACATGATTATAATTATAAAAGAATATCAGTGTTGCAACATGGGTTGAAGTCTGTGTAACAAAGTGCGTTTGCAACACTGTGACGCAAAACAGATCTAGTTTGTCTAATTATTTATTACAAATAAGACATTGCTTAAAAATTCACAAAATAGCATTTATTCACAATTTGCTATTGAAATGCTTAAGATTAGATTAATATGTATTGGAAAAAAATTAATTCCCCAGGTGGATCTGTTTTTATCAGAATTTACTTTATATCTTGTGTGCCTCCCAACAAATATTTGTTGTTTTTCTAGAAGAATTTGTGCTGACTGCTGTCTACCTAAAGACTACTCACAAAAATATTTTAAAAACAAACATGAACTCAAAGCTGAAAACAAACTCTTTAATGAGACCTACGTATTTTTGATAATAAACTTTGATTAATTAAATTTTGTCAATTTTACAGAACGTAGATTATTTGGACTAGTTTTGGTCTACAAGTGATGTCATCTGTCAGTTCAGCAAACAAAATATGCTAAATAATATGTACACAGATCAGTATATATAAAATAAATTACTTCAACTTAAATCAGGTTTAGTTAAAAAAAATTAAGAAAATACATTACTTGTAAACTTCCAGTTTAGATACAAAGATTTCCAATTCAGTTTTTTTTTCAATTAAATAAAAATAATAGAACTCTTGAGTTGGGGTTGTAATAATAGATATTTATTAAAATCTTATTTGCCATTTAAACATTGCAAACATTAAAATCATAATAAAAAAAATCAACACATAAAATTTACTCCTAGTGCTGCTCTGACATGTTTTTGTTCTTCATTATGTAACGATTGCATTTACTAAAATCAAAAAATAAGAAATGTAACTTACACATTATAGTTCTTTACTATCTTACGTTATGAATTTTTAATTCTTAAAACAAATATCACGATGTACACACTAAATTTCTATTGATTATGAAAAAACAACAACATGTAAACTACATTAAATAGAACACAAACGGGTGAAAGTTCAAATGATTATTAGTCTGCTGTGATTTGGCACCAGAGAAGAACACAACTGCAGAAATGTTTCACTGTGTTTTAAATAAGAACAGCCTGAATGTCTGATCGTGTGAACCTCTCTGTGCCTCAGTACAGTAGTCTGTTATGTGTTTAGATTCCTGGGGTGGCATGGGTTAAAACTGTTTAGGTCTTGTGACCTAACCAGCTTTCTTTTTGTAAACATCAAACCACAATTGTTGGACCTAAACATATTCCCACCAGAGCCACAGTGCCATACAAGCATGCCTTCTACTGATTGTGTGTTGGCGTCCACATGAAACCATCAAACCACTCGACCTCAGAGACATTTCTGAGATCTGAAAGAGATGAGCCTCTAATCAAAATCAGAGCAGTGCAATCAAGAGCTGCAAAGAGGAACTGGCTGTGTGTTTGGGATGAGTATGTGTACATGTTGGTGAAGGTTCGGCTTTATTCAAAGCGGATCTGGAGTTTGCACACGTGTCAGCGGCCCTGAAGGGGTGACTCAGAGGAATTTCAGCGCTCAAGTAAACAGCTACTCATTAAAGCAAGAACATATGGATCACATAGGGTAATGATTAGTGCTAACACAAAGCAGGCACACAAGCACTGTTTAGATGAGGTGAGTGACGTGACATATCCTGTATCACCTGCAGGGGTTAATATCCCACTGTTCCTCTCAGATAAAGAGGGCTGGTTCACAGAAAAAAAAGAAAAAAAAACATTTAGAGCTTTGATGAGTTTTCCTGTTTTTGTTTGTTTTTCGTCAAACCCCCTCAAATATGTTTCCACAGCTCCAAAAGGAAGTTATGTGAAAGGTGTGGTGTCAGTAGGTACTATGGGTACTTAGTGAAGGAAATGGTCATACATTAATCCACCACATGTGGTCATAAAGATGAAAGCCTTTTATGTAGTGTCATATGTTTAAGCTCTCTTGTAGGTCTAAAGGAATACTTTATGCTATACAAAATGAAGTTCTGTGGAAAGGTTATGAACAACTTCTCTAAAAACACAGAAAACAGATGAAATTACCAGAAAATAGCTGAAAGAAGCACCAAATGTTTCAATTAGCAGAAGAATAGTGGAAAAAGGTCAGAATGACAGCAAAAACAGCAGGTAAAAGCTAAAATCAGCAGAGTAGAAGCTGAAAGAACCYGAAATTAGCACAAAGAAGTTAAAATAAGCAGAACCAGAACAAAGGTAAAAATACAATAAAGATTTATAAAATATTTTTGAAAGGTTTTAAGGATACTGAAGACAGCTCCTTTTAGTTTTAATGACAAAAAGTGGCATATCTCAAAAAATTATAAATTGATTAAGTACCAAAATGTCCTAAAGGAACATTTTGATATGTAAATTATACAATTGCACAAAAATTGTAAAATGAGATACATGCCGAAAACGTATGGAATACAAAATGATCTCAACAGTGTGAATGTTTCATAGGCATTCACAAAATTTATATCTTACCTGCTATACATTACTTTCAAAACTTCAATGTGTGGAGAGTTTAATTCTGAAGAAATTAAAGTTAACAGCTACTTCAACCTGGATTAAGATCTGCGCAGATTGCTGCCAACCTAACATCAAAGATTTCATAGAAATTCAAGTGAATGCTCTATTATAAACCTCAATGTTTCTCAAATGCAGTACTTTTGCAAATGCAAATAATCATAAAGTAACTAAATCAACAAAGCAGCAGCTGTAAAATTCCCAGTGCAGCCCGGGGCACTTCCTGCAGGAACATCATGTTTCTGCCAGAAGAACCATAAAATGTGAAATTAATGGTCATGTAAAAGCTCACAAAATGGCATTTTCTTTGCATGCAAGTTTGAATATATTTACTACTTTAAATAAAACCTGTACTGTACTATATTGTTGACAACTGAGAAATTTAAATGAACTGAATCTTTACAAAATATTAGATGTGCTGGATCTATGCCCAAATTCAGAAATTCCCATAAATAATGGTTTAATATTTTATTGGTATCTTCATACCCCTCTCTTTCTCTTTTTCTTATATAAAGCAGAAGGGTTGGAACATTCGTTTTTGTACCTTTTAGAGTTCACTACGACCCAGCTTTAGTCCTGGTCCAAAACTTTTATTAATAATACAGCCACACACAAATATTTAAACACAATTTCCCAGGAAAACCAACATTTTGTAAATAATTCAAAACAGACAATGTGATATTTTTCCATGCATGCATGTCTTCACTGCATAACCACAAAATTACTTCATGTATAAATTTTTATAATAATTTGACCGCAGATATGTTACACAATGCAACAATCCATTTTGGTTTTTGCACCAATTCGACTACAACTGTTAGCTTGTCATCTGATCAGGATTAAACAATATTACTTCAAACTGTTCAAAGTTTTATCTATAATAGATAAGTTCATATTTTTTCAACAAAACCCCACAACGAGTCATGAGAACTAATGCTTTAAAAGAAAACATTCAGACCTGAGTGGCCAACACATTTTCAGTTTTGTATTTTTTACCCCAATAAATCATTTAACATAAAAACCCTCAGAAATGTAAATATTAATCAAGGTTATTCCTTTATATGAATATAATGTTATTTTGTAACTTGACTGAGAAGTGGGGGGATGAGTGAAAAAGA